CTGGGAGGCTGAGGGGTTAATGGGGCTTCCCGGAGCATCTAAATCCGCTTCTCAGCTGAATTCCTGGGAAGTCCGCTTCATCCTTGAGGCGACACTACGGTCTGGAAAAGTCCGAGGAAATGAGCAAGCTACTGCTAGGGGCGTTCTCGGGGATTTCAGGATGAGACCCTCTCGTCTAGGAAACATAGTCCAGAAAACCCATTTGGAAAAAACAATCACTGGGTTGTTGCTGTGGTTTATCTGGTGCTTGCGTTCATGCAGCTCTCATGTGAAGCTGGGTCTCCTGCGCAGACAGAGAGCGCGTTGCTTCGTCAGCAGGGAGCTGAGGGAAAGGGTTGGCAGCCACAGTCACGGATAAACGGCTCCTGAGGGAGGTCAGCAGCCGGGGGTACAGTGCAAAAGGCACACATCGGGTCAAGAACATCATGACCCCTGAAGCCCCCGGTGCTACCTTCAGTCACCGCCCCCACCCAGGGGGCCTGCATGTCTGACTTGGAAACCCAGAGATGAGTTCTGCTGGTGTCTGGCTGCATCCCCATGGAGTAGGGTGTCCCCTGGGTGTATCTCTTCTTTCCCTCCACACTTTATGTGAGGACCATGTGTGTGGTTACCCACAGCGATGTTCTTTCATGCTCAGAGTTTCTCCTGCCTTCCCTCCCTCCCTCCCTCCCTCCCTCCCTTCCTCCTTCCTTCCTTCTTTTCTTTTTTCTTTTCTTTCCTTTTCTTTTCACAGGGTCTCTCTCTGTCACCCAGGCTGGAGTACAGTGGTTCAATCACAGCTCACTGCAGCCTCGACCTCCTGAATTTGAGCAGTCCTCCCACCTCAGCCTCCTGAGTAGCTGGAGCCACAGACACATGCCACCACAGCTGGCTATTTTTATAATTTTTGTAGAGATGGGGTTTTGCCATGTTGCCCTGGTTGGTCTCAAACTCCTGGGCTCAAACTATCTGCCTCTCTTGGCCTCCCAAAGGGCTGGGATTACAGGCATGAGCCACCGCATCTGGCTCATTCTGAGTTTCTTAATCTTTGTGGGCACTGTTGGCATCAAGGGACGAATAGCTCCTTGAAGTAGTGGGATTGGTGCATTGTAGGATGACTGGCAGCATTCCTGGCCTTTACCAACTAGATGGAGGACAGCGCCCCCTCCCAAACTGTGATGACCAAAAATGTGTCCAGTCATGGCCAGATGTCCTCTAGGGCACATTCTCACCCTAGGACCATGACTGCAGGGTATTCTCTGCTATGATATGTCACAGATTTTTTATCTGCCAGTGATGGCCACTTGGGTTGTTTCTGGCAGTTGGCTATCATGAACTGAGCTGCTATTGCATTCTTGGGTGGATGTACACATTCATTTCTGCTGGATGTCCAGGTTGGAATTGTTGGGTTATTGAGCAGGCCTATGTATAGCTTTATGGCAGAGATACTGTCAAACAGTTTTCCACAGTGGTTGTAGCAGTTTACATTTTCACCAAGTGGAAGAGAATTCCAGTTGCCCCAGATCCTTACCAATAACATTGAATTTTTTCTTTGCATTTCCCAGAGGTTGACCCCTTGACATATGGATCTTGGCCACTGGGACATCCTCTTAAAGAAGTTCCTATTCAAGTAATCTGCTCATTTTTTTTTTCTATAAGATTATCTGCCTCTTTCTTATTGATTTGTGGTAACTCTTTATATATGATGGATAAGAATATATATATATATATACATATATATATATAGTAGATATCTTCTCTCACTCTTTAAACTCATAGACTTTTAGAACCAGGGGCACTTTGTGCTTTCCACATCAGATACCCTGGTGCACATGATTGCCATTGCTTAGCTGTCCTTTTTGCAAGACAGTGAATTTCATAAGAGCAGGGCTGTGTGTCTGATCTGTTCACCCTAGAACTCCAAGCACGGAGGGCTTAGCGCTGAGTGGGTACAAAATAAATATTTGTAGGAGTGAAAGTAGGAGCAAAGCTCCCATTGGGATGATTGTTCTTTGCAGTCTAAGGCTTCCACGTTTCAACAGTTATTGATTCCCAGGCAGCCACACGAAAGAGCAGAGATTGAGGCACCCGCCTGCTCCCTTGCCCCCCGCCTGAGGGTGGCAGCCAGCTCCTGAGCCTGTCTGTCATCCCCCTGCCAGCTGGAACTCTGCCCACCTGCACTTGCCCTGAGGGAGGCAGGGCCTCTCCCGGAGAAATCACATTTTAATTAACTTCCCCGGCAGTCACTGGAGAGGCCGGATCATTTTCATAAACAAATGAGAGGCCAGAGCTTTGTCTGTAGCTCAAAGAGCGTAGTATGGAAGGAATTCAAAATAAGCCACCCTGCGGAGTCCCCATGCACCCACCTGAAACTCAGAGCTCTGTCACTCTTGAGGGACATTGGGGGCTGGGATTTGAGATGGAAAAGAAGAGGGAGGGAAACAAGCATTGTGTAGAAAAGAGCCAATGGTCTCAAAGTAGGCTGTGAACAGCATGTCTGCGTACCCCCAACGTGAACAACCTAACTTCGGATGGGATGGCATTAGCCGTGGGTCTTTTAGGAGATGAGTAGGTCATAAAAGCAGAGCCCTCATGATGGAATTTGTGCCCTTAAATGAAAAGGAAGAAAGCTAACTCTGTCTGTTCTCTGCCACGTGAAGATACAACAAGAAGGCGGCCATCTGCAAACCAAGGAGAGAGCCCTCACCAGACACCGGGTCTGTTGGTGCCTAGATCTTGGACTTCCCAGCCTCCAGAGCTTTGAGAAATAAATGCCCATTGTTGAAGCCACCCTGTCAGTAATAATTTGCTATGGCAGCCTAAGCTGACGAAGACATGAGTATTTCACCCACTCATTTATTCAACCCCTATTAGCAGCTGTTCTACACTGAGAAAAGAAGAATGAGAAATAAAGACAGGGTATACAAAACATCTGCATACCTTCCGCTCACTTTTGTGGTGAACCTAAAACTGCTGTAAAATATAAAGTTGATTTTTTAAAACATAACCTTAAAAAATAAAGATTGGATCCCTCTCCTTGTGGGGCACACAGGCTCATAAGGGAAGACCAATATCAAACTGATCCTTATGCGATGAATGACTTAATTACACGACTTTGTGATTTTATTTGAGATGTAATTCACATTTCCTACAATTCACCCATTTACAATGTAGAATTCAGTGGCTTTTAATATATTCACAGAGTTGTGCAACCATCACGCCACAATCAATTTTAGAACATTTTCATCACTCCCCAAAGATCGCCCCTTAGCCATCGCAGCTGTCCATCGCTCCATCTCTTCCCCTACCTGTCCCCAGCCCTGGCAACCACGAAGCTACTTTCCGTCCCTGGATAGGTGCTACCCTGTCATTTTGTAAGTGCCGTGAAGGTAGGCTGAGGCTGCTGTAGAGCCACCATATAATAAGGAGCCTTGTCTAGGACTGATGCCAATCTGGGAAGACTTCCCAGAGGAAGTGGTTTTAAATATCGGGCATTTATTTTGTACCTGCTGTATGCCAACAGAAAGAAGAAGGTCATAGGAGTCATGGCTCTCTCTGGGTGGCAGTGTGTAATCCAGGCAGCGTGGGCTGCATGTGCATTCCTGGAAATCGAGAAGGTGGCGAGTTCTAAGCCCCAAATGAATAGAACAGATAGTAAGAGTCACTGGTGTTCAGACGAGGGCGAGCCGTGGTGAACCCAGGGGTCCCGAGAGCTTCTGGCAGAGACGGGGCTTGAAGAATAAGGACCAGTAAGGGTGGGTCTTGAGCAAAGAGCAGCAGAGGCAGCTGGGATGCCTGCGGTCCTTCAGAGCAGGGGGCTGGGCTTGTCTGTCTCAACGGGGGCCGTGGGAGAGCCTGTGAGGCCAAGCTGCAGGGCTGGGTGGGTAGGAGGCTGTGGGGCCTGGATCACCAGCTGAGGGAGGGTTTATTCCAGCGGCAGTGCTGAGCCACAATGGGCCGTCCTTGTCTGTCTACCTCTCAGCACCCAACCTGTGGGAGCTGGAGAGATGGGGATATAGATGAGATGGCAGGGGACAGTGAGACCAGAGCCCACTAGACCCTTTGGGGAGTCTTGGGTGCGGCCAGAGCAGAGAGCTCCTGGGAGATGTAATAACACCCTGTGACTTTGAGTCCTCAGCCTGTGGCCTGTGGGCAGCGGGAGGATCAGCGGCGCCCACCCTTCTCAGTAACGGCCCTGGGACCCACTGGCACCACAAGAAGCTGGGGCTGTGGGCATTTCTTTGACTTGTGGATCTGAGTGTGGGTGGGGGCAGCCAGCCTGGGTTCTGGTCCCAGCTCTGCCACTTCCTACTGCTTGATCCAAGGTCACCTGTCAGATCTCTCTGTGCCTCAGCTTCCCCCTGAGAAACACTGCCTTCCCGGGTGGCTTTGCAGACGACACGAGGGAAGGCCAAGGAGCCCCAGACGTGCCTGGGATGCAGCCGGAACCCAGCAGGTGCCCATCGATGGAGCAGACGCGGATGGGGTTTGAAGCACCCACTGTGCAGGACAGGGCCTCTGACCGTGGGGAGCCACTGCGCTAAAGGGAGATGGTGGCAGAATGATCAGGAGCGTCAGCCCAGAGGACAGGCGTGTTTCCGTGCGATGCCCTGCCCAGCACTTGGGGGCCAGGGATATGGACCCTGCCTCTGTAGGCCTCAGTTTCCACAGATATAAATAAGGGGGCTAATGTGGTTGATGACAGGGCAATTTCACTTGTACAAATCCCCTCTGAGAGGCCAAGGAATTCCCTAGAGTCCCAGCGAGTAAGAACAGCTGCCCAGGTGCAGAGGGTGGCAGCAGCCCTGTCACTGTGTCTTCCCCAGAAGCTGAGGATTTGAGGAAGCGACTTCCTCATGTGCTACAGGGACGAAGGTAGGAAAGATGTCCTCCCTCGCCGGGGCCTCCAGATGAGGCCTCCTGAACTGGGTCTTTCATTTCCAGCTTGAACCAGGCAGGTCAAGGCTTCTCCCCAAACACAGCTGCTCCGCTCGGGGACTGTGCCTCCCACCCCAATACAGTACAGAGATGCCAAGGGACCTCCCATCTCTGACATCCTCGTTCACCTTCAGTGCAGACACGAGGACCGAGGACCAGCTTCTGCTCTGTGGCCCCGCGCCAGCCGCAGCCTGCGCTCCTCCCAGGAAGGGCTCTGCCACCCGCTCCTGTGCTGCCCTAAAGGCCATGTGCAGGGCCTGGGGTGACTCAGGCACCTGGTGCCTCCCTGTTGCCGAGAGACTCCACTCTTCACCTCTGCCCTCTGTCCTTCCCCTGACAGGCTGAACTTGGCAAGCCCCGGGAAAGAAGCTGCAGTCTGCCCGGCATTAATTTTAATTACGGACTGTACATCCGAGGGCTTGATGGAGGGGTCCCTGAAGGTGAGTGAGCACGCTTTGGAGCATGAGGGCCGAGGAGTGGGCGGGAGGCTGACCCCTCTTCACAGAACCCCCGACCTAACTCGCTGCTTGGGAGCTGGTTGGGTGCTGGAGAAAGACCCAGGGACTGCCAGCTGGGGCAGCTGAGGGGTCAAACCCAGGGCGCAGCCCAGATGAGGAGGGCCAGGCAGGAACTGGGTGCTGTGCTGGGTGGGTTATGAGCACAGAATGAGCCCAGGACCAACCCTCTGCCTGCTCAGAGGAGGTCAAGGGCCAGGCCAGCCCAGCTCTAGGGCAGATGCTTGGCTTGGGTACCCTCCGGCATCGGGGAGCCCTGATCCCTCCCTTTCGGGCCATCATACTTTCTGGGGGGCCAGGCAGGGCTGTCACCCAGCAGGCTCAGGTAAATGGGAAGACCAAGGACCCGTGTGCCCACGTTTCTTCTCGGTCAGCTGCCTTGAGGTGCTTCCTCCCAGGCTGACCACTGCCCTGGGGTCTCTCCCTGCCCTCAGCCATCGGGAGCTGGAACGTGTTTAAGCAGCAGCCCACCTGCCCCCAAGAGCTGACCCGGAACTACATCGCAATGAACCGCGGGGCAGTGAAGGCCGGCCTGGTGACTGCCCGGGAGAACTTCCTCTACCGTCAGCTCAACGACATCCGCATCAGTGACCAGGATGACCGGCACCTGAAGAAGGAGCCCTCTCTCCCTCCAAACATGACATTTGGGATCCGGGCGCGGTAAGATGGCTGGCAGCCAGGCCTTCATCCCCTGAGGGGGTGGGGGTACCGAATGAATTGGGGACAAGGTCGGAGGGTGACAGGAAAGCGGAGCATCCTCCCAGCCCCAGTGTTCTCTCTCCAACGACTCTGTGTTGTGTGACTTCCGCAGCCACACCCTGAATCCTGCTGCGCTGGGTCCTGGCCTTGTGGCAGGGTACCCTGTGGGGCTGTGGCCAGGTCACCCACTTTCACTTGATGAGCGAACAGTGACTGAGACCTGTCTCTGGGCCAGGCCCAGTGGTTCACATCTGTAATCCTAGCACTTTGGGAGGCCCAGGTGGGAGGATCACTTGAGTCCAGGAATTTGAGATCAGGCTGGGCAACATGGCAAAAACCCCCCTACAAAAAATTTTTTTAAATTAGCTGGGCATTGTGGCATGTGCTTATAGTACCAGCTACTTGAGGGCTGAGGTGGGGGATGGCTTGAGCCATCGAGGAGATCGAGGCTGCAGGGAGCCCTGATGGCGCCACTGCACTCCAGCTTGGGCAAACAGACTCAAAAAAAAAAAAGACCTGTGTCTGTCTTCATGGGGTGAGAGAGGGGAGCCTGCCAGGTTACCCAAGCACACACCACCCCAGGGAAGCCTGGAGAGAGGCTCTGGAGCCTGGGCTCAAACCTGGACTCTGGCCATGACCGGCCGTGGGGTGCCTGCCCCAGCTTCCATATCTGTGGAATGGAGATAAGAGCACTACCTGCTTCACAGCGTGCTGAGGCTTCAGTGACGTAGAGCATACGGCGACCCGAGCACAGGGCCCGGCCCACGCGGGAGCTCAGTAAATGTTAGCCACTGTTCATGTTAACGTAGGGTGGAGTGTGAGTTGGAGCTCCAAGAGCTATGAAATTTTTTTTTTTTTTTTTTGAGACAGAGTTTCACTCTTGTTACCCAGGCTGGAGTGCAATGGCGCGATCTCGGCTCACCGCAACCTCCGCCTCCCGGGTTCAGGCAATTCTCCTGCCTCAGCCTCCCAAGCAGCTGGGACTACAGGCACGTGCCACCATGCCCAGCTAATTTTTTGTATTTTTAGTAGAGACGGGGTTTCACCATGTTGACCAGGATGGTCTCGATCTCTTGACCTCGCGATCCACCCGCCTCGGCCTCCCAAAGTGCTGGGATTACAGGCTTGAGCCACCGCGCCCGGCCAGAGCTATGAAATTTTAAAAAAATTGTATTGAGGCTTCACTTATGCCTAGTAAAATACACAAATCGTGAGATGTTCAGCTTAATGCAATTTTACAAATGGAAACACTCAGGTGACTATTGCTAAGGTAAGGATACAGAATAAATCCGGGATTTATTAGATCAGCTCCCTAGTGCTAACGGGGGCCCACAGGCCACCGAGAAGTAGGGAGGGAGATGGGCCATGCACCCCATCCAGTCAACACCCTGTCTTCTCCTGACCGTCCTTCTGCAGAAAACCGCTAACTTCTCTCTTCTTCCAGAATTGACCCTTCCCAAGTCACCTTCCACATTACTCCAGAGTTATCTTGCTAACACACAGATGAAATGAGCCAGACACGACCCACGTCCCAGCCCTCGCACACATGACATTCTAGAAAAGCAGAATATAGGTGCATTTAATCGAAACTCAAGTCATGGCTCACGTGATTGGAAAGCACAGGGACAGCTTCAGGCATAGCAGGATCTAGGCAGTCAGGCAACACCATCAGCGTCGGGTCTCTCTGTGTCTTGGCTGTGCTTCCTGATTTGGGCTCCATTCTCTGAGAAGCTTCTTCCTCACCTGCAGATGGCCAGCAGCAGTTCTGTTCTTCAGTGCAAAGGGTGCTGGGGATACAGATGCCTTGAGTTCAAGACTCTTTGGATCAGGTTTCATGACTATCTTTCTTTCTTTATTTTCCAGACAGAGTCCCTCTCTGTCCCCCAGGCTGGCCTGCAGTGGCACAATCTTGGCTCACTGCCACCTCCGCCTCCTGGGTTCAAGTGATTCTCCTGCCTCAGCTTTCCAAGTAGCTGTGACCACAGCTGTGTGCCACCACACCCGGCTAATTTTTGTATTTATAGTAGAGATGGGGCTTCACCATGTTGGTCAGGCTGGTCTCGAACTCCTGGCCTCGGGTGATCCACCCGCCCTGGCCTTCCAACGTGCTGGGATTACAGGCTTGAGCCATCGCTCCAGGTTACATGACTACCTTTTACCCAACCTCTGTGGCCAGGGCTGAGATGCCAGGCCTGGGTCATGTGCCTGCCTCTGAGCCAATGGCTGAGGCCAGGGGAATCTGAAGCCTGACTGACCTGGGCTGACATGTGCCCTTCCCTGGAGTCAGGGGTTAAGTCAGTCCCTGCAGGCTTCGCGGGCCGATTGTGGAAAAGGTGTACAGACCAGGGTTCTGTTCCAGGCGGGGGGTGGATGCCAGGCAGGCAAAAACAGCAATGTCCACTGCAGCAGGACTTCCCAACCCTGTCCACATCACTGCACAAGCTGGTCCTTATCACAAAAATGACCAGTATTTGTGTATTGCACGGAACGAGTAAATAGAAGAGGCTGCTCCCAGGCAGGAGTGACTGGTGTGGACTTCTGGCCCTCTGGAGCCCTGTTCAGTGACCTGTGGCTGACAAAGCCACCCTCTCAGCCATCTGTGTGGCAGCATCCTGCTTAACCCTCACTCAAGGCCACCGACTTTCCATCCCTAGCCTGCCTTTCCAATTTTCCTCTCGCCTTTCCTGAAGTAGGTGCCTTCCTTTGACTATGCCACCATACATATATTTCTGGATTATCCTTCCTTCTTTACTTTTTACTTTTTATCATTTTTTTTGAGACAGAGTCTCACTGTATTACCCAGGCTGGAGTACAATGGCATGACCTCAGCTCACTGCAACCTCTGCCTCCCGGAGTCAAGCGATTCTCCCGCCTCAGCCTCCCCAGTAGCTGGGATTACAGGCACGTGCCACCACCCTGGCTTATTTTTGTATTTTTAATAGAGGTGGGTTTTATCATGCTGGCCAGGCTGGTCTTGAACTCCTGACCTTGTGATCTGCCCGCCTTGGCCTCCCAAAGTGCTGGGATTACATTTTTATAATTTTTTACTGTGGTAAAATATACATAATATTTATCATGTGAACTAGTTTTAAGTATACAATTCAGCGGGAATCATTACATTCACATTGATGAGTGACCATCACCACCATCCATTTCAAGAACTTTTTTATCATCCCAAACTGAGCCTCTTTTCCTATTAAACACTAACCCCCAAACCCCTGGCACCCACCATTCTATTTTCTGTTCCTATGACTTTGATTACTCTAGAGATCTCATATGAATGGAATCATGCCATGTCTGCCTTTTTGTGTCTGGCTTATGTCATTTTTCATAATATCCTCGCGGTTCATCCATGGTATAGCATGCATCCGAATTTCATTCCTTTTCAAGGCTGCGTAATATTCTCCTGTGTGTATAGACTGCATTCTGTTTGCTCATTCATCTGCCAATGGACATGTCAGTTGTTTCCACCACCTTTTGGCTCTTGTGAACCCTGCTGTGATGAACATGAATGTACAAATATCTGTTCCGGTCCCGCTTTCAATTCTGTGGGTGTATACCCCTAGCGGATTTCAGGATCATGTGGTGATTGTGTTTGAGTTTCTGGGGCCCCGCCACACCTCCCTCCACAGCATGTGCTATGTATGCTTTTGTATGCTCTTCCCACCGTTCCACTCCGGGGAAAGAATCCCGAGGAATGAGTAGGTGAGAAAACTCACTCATTCTTCAAAGCTCAGCTCGGCATCGCCTCTTTGGTAAGGTTTCCCACCTCTATGGCCTAAATACCAGGCACATCTCTCTTCAGAAATCCATTTCTATCCACCAGCCCTGAAACCAGGACGGTGACACCAGAGACACATTGGAAAGTCACTTTGGGGCTGTATTAATGAACTCCCGCACACTGTCCTTCCTGCACCTTTGAGATCATCCCCCAAGTGGGTCCCCCAGGGCATCTCCTGTGACTTTGGCTGCTAACCTGGGTCTTCTTCTCAGCTCGCAACACATGTGCCCTCCCTTGCCCCGGGGCAGAGAGGGACCCCCATTCCTCGTCCGTGCTGTGCCCTAGGTCACTAGATCAGTCCATGCTGGTGACCAAGTGTCTCAAAGACAGCGTGGTGGCAGGAGAGGGGCCCTGGGCTGGGAGTTGGCCTGGGGTGCTAATTCCAGCTTTGTCCCCAAGTCTCCATGTCACATTCCCCCCAGGGCTTGTTTCCCCATCTGTAGCTAGGGAGCTATACCAGTAACACATATACTCATCATGGGACTCTGTGATTCTCAGGTGTGTTCTGCCTCTTCAGCTTGGCTCTAAACTTTCATGCCGATGTCTTTTCATGGTCAAAAAACTCTGTGCCAAAGGTGGGCAGGATTATTCTCCAACTGAGGCGGGGAGAGGTTCATTGACCTCCTGAAGTTCATACAACTTCTTCATGGCAGGGCTTGGCCTGGATTCTCAACCCTTAGTATGTTTATATTTAAAAACAGAGCCAGGCTCAGTGGCTCGCGCCCGTAATCCCAACACTTGGGGAGGCTGAGGCAGGTGGATCACCTGAGATTGGGAGTTCGAGACTAGCCTGGCCCATATGGTGAAACCTCTCGTCTCTACTAAAAATACAAAAATTAGTCGGGCGCGGTGGCGGGCACCTAACATCCCAGTTACGCAGGAGGCTGAGGCACGAGAATCGCTTGAACCCAGGAGGTAGAGGTTGCAGTGAGCTGAGATAGCGCCACTGCACTGCTGCCTAGGCAACAGAGTGAGACTTCATCTCAAAAAAAGAAAAATAGCAAAATTGGAACACACAGGATGCTAGTGATCATCTGGTTGAAAGCCCTTATTTAAAACGGGAGAAAACAGAAGTTCAGAGAGGTGAAGAGAGCTTCCCAAGGTTGCACAGCAAGTTGCTAACTGAGCCAGGTCTGGAGTGCAGTCGTCAGACTCCCCATCCAGTGCTCCTCGCTCTGTG